ATTCAAGATCATCTGTTTGAATTACATATTTACGATGATTCGTATTTGGTGTGCTGAATTCTATGGTGTAGATTCCATATTGTTGTGTTAAGTTACATATGTCTTTCAAATAATGTTCAATAATTTATCTTTTGATTTTTACATCTGGGAATTCTGCTTTGCATGGACTGATTCCGGGTTCAAACAAATTTACGAGTAACTTCTTGCAAAAATCATGTTGCCCTCTATCATCGGGTGCATCTATGAGGAAGGGGTAAACCTCTTCGTCATCTGGACTATCGTCACTTTGAGTGTGGCTCATTTTTTTGCTTGATGACTGTTAATATCTAGCTATCCATGTGTCTAATTGGTTGATTCCAGTTATACAGGTGTACTGGTTTGTGTTTGTATTGCTTTTTTATTCCTCTTTTTCCTCTTTTTGATGAATTTGAAGTTGTTTCTCAATCGGAAAAATATAATTGGTCGTGAATGGGACAATTTTTATCAATTGATTCTTTTAATTTGTAGAGTTCATCTAAACTGCTGGCTTCTGATTCAGAAAATGCGTTTCTATTTTTTGAAAATCTTTTTCGTGTGATTTGTTTTTGTTTGTTTATAATTTTTCTTTTTATTGTTTGTCGTTTTGTTCTAATGTATCCAACTGTTTGTGTATGAGGTGTGATTACAAGATCAAATTTTTTGTTATCTATTTTACAGTTGTGTAAAACGATTGTTTGCTTATTTCCTAGATTTTTGAATGACATAAGGTTTAGGATGAGGGATGCAAAAAGTTGTTAGGTATTTCTATTTTCTTAGACTGTTAGTCCTTACGATTTTTGGTTAGCTTAACCTGGGTCTTTTTATTTAGGGTTGGAGAGAAAAGTATATCGATTCCGAAGAATTATTTTTTACTTTCTCGTGGCTAGTCTAAGCTAAGGTGTTAACTTACTTAATCTTACTTAGGGGTAGTGATTGTGTTCAAGGGTTGGAGAATAGTAAATCGATCCACAAGGTTCAAGTATAATTAGAACGCAAGTAGTTCGTTAGATACTATTTTAAACTTACTAAGATCTATCCTGGGTCTGGTAAGAGGAGGGTTCAAGTGAAGGATGAATAACCGAAGTTCTTCACTGTTTATCTTAATTTGAATAGTTAGTTTTATTAAAAAATTTCTATTACTCTTTGGTCTTTTGGAAGGGTTGGATAGTGAATCGACGTTTGAGGTCGTTAGACACTTGATAAGTGGGTGGGGGAGAACAAAATTGTTCTTTTTGATCCAAGGATAGGCCTTGATGATCAGGTTTTGAAAATTAAGTGAATTTAAGTTTAAAATGGTTTAAATTTATTTAAGAAAAAGAATTAGTAATTTAATGATATTAGTGAGCTTATGATTGCTGTTATGTTTAGGTGATGAAGCTGGGACAACAGATGATTTATGATTTCTAACAATTTATTGTCTTGCTACTAATTTTTATTTTCATTTTCAATAAATATTTTTCAAATATGTTTTATATAAGACTGCAGAAATTAAGAAAACGATCTTAAATCTTTTTATCAATCGTTATTGTACATTAATAATTTTGTTTAGCGCCTGAAATGATCATGAAGATTGACTTCAAAATTTTATGTTTGCAGATGAAAATCTAAATTCATTGCTAATAAGATTCTAAATACAAAAGTTTGTGTTGGCTTTTGCCGTACAATCATAAAACTAAATGGTAAGTTTCTACTTTGTCGTATGTCGTCTCTTGTTCGAGGTCTTCTTCCAATTCCGGGTAGCTCTATTATTGTTCGGAATATCGGCTCTGAACTATTGAGTCGTAGAGACATTTCGATTAAATTATTATCGTATATTATTTTGAAAATGTTTTGTCTAAATTCTAATCTATTTTTGGTTAGTTCTAAGCTATTAAGGTCTTATTCGAGACTTATGGTCGCACCAGATGAGTTATAACCGATGTGGTTATTTCATAGAGTAATTTCAGATAGGCTACACCGTCTGCTCGTCACGCTATCTTATTTTCGGCCGGATAGATTCGTGCAACTTCTTAGTCTAATACCGATCCTAATCTTACTCTTATACTTTCTAGTCTCAGGGTGTTTAACTAGTCTCTGCTAGGCTCAATAGATCTAGGGTATACTGGTTTATTGCGGCTGCTGAAGTTATCTTGGAGAGACAATTAATTTCTAAGGTAAATTCAAATCTCTCTGGTGCTGAAATTACAAGTAATTTCAGCACTTACAAATAAGTGGGTTGTTAGTTAGATGGATTATGATTGGTTAATATTAAATACTTTACAGTGGTAAAATATCCAATTTATCCAATCATAAAATATAGCTTAGATCAGGTTCCACTTCTCGTGTTTCCAATTCTCCCTGCTATTGTTACTGGACAATTTTACCGCTCCAAAGTTTAATTCCTGCGTTCCAAAATCAATCAATTACAAGATCAAAGAAAACAACTGAAAAACCAGAAAAAAACACCGTTCAAAATTCAGGCGATTTTTTCAGACGATTAAAAAAATAATAGCTAAGAAGATTAAATTTCCCTCAGACAAATTCCATCTTTCATTCTAGCCATCATATACAAAATTATTTATATCATCTCAAAAATACCGAAACCCTGAGCTCAGACCTAGGTTGAGAAAAAGATATTTTAAGTTCGATTATTTTCTGTAAAAGTTTAAATGTTTGCGATTCCATTTTGCCAATTTGGGATTATTACCGCACAGAATAAATCGCTCATTGAAAGCGTATGCTTGAATTTAATCTGGCGCAAAACTTTCTGCACACCGAATTGATTCCAGTTATTTGATTCTGGAAGCCTCTCAGTTTTGCAGTAAAATGTTAACATATAACAGGAAAACTGAGAACTCTTTTTCCTCTAAAAACCAGTGCAAAGTCACTAAAAAGTTGTCAAAAAATCAATGTGAACTGGAGTTTAATGAAACCGAATTTCAAATTAGTTGCAGTTTTGCTGTCTTTCTGATGCAGACTACAGAAAAAAGTTTTCATTTCATTTAATTTGGAATACAGTCATTTTTATGAGCCAAATATAAAATGCTTTTTTTCCTTTTCACCTTTCTTGCAAACTTCTGAAAAAGTTTTCAGTTCACGCTTTTCGATGATAGAGTGGTTGCCCCATGTTTAAAATCCCCCACCTTACCCTATGTGTTCCCCTCCCTTGCATTTACCTAATTGTGGCCGGGTGCTTGGGAGGGGATGAATGGTGTTATTTTTTTGGATCTACTTAACAGTGCCCCTATGGTATCTAGGAGATAGGTGAAAATAGTTTTTCTTACTGGATGTATTAAACAAACACCAGTTTTTTGTCCTTTTTTCACGTCTTTCCCTTAAGAGAGAGCTGTGGAACGGAGAGAGAGATAAAAAAAACGACGTTCCATTAATTCAAAACCCCCGAACAGCCACCATTGGCTGAACCTGATAGAAGGAGTAAGCGTGGGTTGATAACCCTGAGCAGAACAACTTATAACAGTGCCCAGACCTGGTTATTATAATAAATTTGTTTTCTGACAAAAAAATCAAAAATTGGAAAATTCAAGCGAATTCAATTTCAAAAAATGAAACCAAGTGGGTATGACATTGCCCAAAAAAGAGGCCTGAAAAAAAATTTCACTAAAGAAAACGTTTGAACACATTCAATTAGCGTTTATGATTAACCATAAAAATTAGCTAGAAACTAGATCTTTTTTGTTCATTTTATTCACATTGAAAGTACAATTAAACATAATTTTATTTAAAAAAGAATGAACGGAGCCAGAATTATCATTTTTTGGAGCATGTTCTAAATCATTTTTTTCCTGCTGAATGAAAGTCCTCTAAAATAAACATTTTTTGTCTCGAATAGGTAAATTCAAAAATAACGTGAGGGAGAATCGCACGAATCTTCTTAGAAAAACCAAAAAAAAAATCATTCGTCGAAATTTTTTTTTTCGTTTTTTTCGGTATCAATGTTTCTCGACAATGAAAAACCTTGTTTCTCGACCTCAAAAAATGATTCTCGACATTGAATTTGGAAATTTGTGCGGTTGGTGATGGCAACTGCGGTACGATTTTGCGCACTTCTGTTGTTGTCGTTTTTACACACCCGCAAGAGAAACAATTGCTTGATGTAGCCAATGCAATGATAAAATTTAGTTATTTGAAGTTTATTGAAAACTACAAGCATTCATTTTTTTGTGATGAAACATTAATTTTGGATGCAACCAGTAACTTAACTTCGTTTTCCCACCACTCACCTGGTCAGAAATTTATAACCTCGATATCCTGAAATAAACTAATCAGAAAAAAAACTTCTTCACAATTGTAGGAAGTTTTTGCCTTGTTTTACCCTAGACAATTAGAGTACGTAGCGTTTATTTGTTTTCAAAAATGAAACCTAAAGGGGACAAAACACAAGTACAAACTCTTTATAATGCGAACTCCTCTTTATATGGAGAACAGATTTGCAGCCAAATGCGCAACACGGCTATATCTATTATTATTTTTATGTTTTGGATTGTAAGCACAAGTAGGTACACCAATGTCATGCTCGAAATCGCTCCTGAAGCAGCCAGTTTTCAGGATTCTGGAACAAAAGTTGCGGAATACACAACAGTTTGCGGAACGATAAAGCAAATACATATACATTACATCGTACACTACAGTTTTGTGGAATCTGCTCACTTTTGCGGAACCTGCATAAATTTTGCAGAACCCACTAACATCAATTCATTTCAAATTAGAAAGTGCAAAATCCGTTTTTTTTTGTGGAATCCGCTCACAGTTTGCATAACCCGCATATACATTTAGAGTCTAGAATAATTAGCCGCATGAGATTGCTGCGGGAACACGCTCAAAATCTTTTGTCATTAGATATTTCTGGGTGGAATTCATCTACAATTTGGAAAATTTTTAGGCCTCGTATTAGAAATTTGAGGCAATTTGAAGTCTTCTACTGTGTGGAAAAATTAATGTTTGAATAATGAAACGAAGGAGAGAGGTGTTAGACTGATACCGACATGGCAAGTCTTCGCTTCTGAAGGAGAAATAGTTGAATTGGTGGTAGTTGTAAGCTATCAAGCCTCTAAACTCAGCCACATCCCCCATCTGAATCTGCCTGTTGCTGTGCACACTGTCCGTCACGAATCCAACCAAGCAGAAATAGCGACTAAATCAACAAGCTGAGTTCGGGGAAGGGGTGAGATAGTTGTAGATTTTTGACCTGCTAGAAATCGAACCAAGTTGTTGGTTATTTAGTTCTATCAAGAAATTTTTAATTCTGAGAATTTATCTGGCTATTGATAAAAGAAGGAGAGCCAAAAGAGGAGCATTGTTGGTATCAAAATAATTGTCGAAAAATTGAAACTGGTTCTGATATCAGTGAAGAAAATTCAATTAAAGTGACCTTAAATTGACACTTGCTTTTCTAGAAAAAGGGATCGATTGCGATGAATGGCGACTTTTTTTACAATAGTTTGGTGCCAAGTTTTTGAAGCTCACCTGAAACGATAGCACTGTTCTCCCACAAATTCATATCTGTCAGGAACCACGAAGGTGATAAAATAAGTGTCCGATGGGACGAAGGATGATGACCCGGTCATATTGCCAGTCAAAGAAGAAATTGACACTCTCGCAACAGCAAACACTTCATGTTAAAAAAAAACGAACTAATCAGAGCATCGAAAATGCAATAGTTCAAAGGACAATTTTTATCCGCCGTGTTCAGACCTATTCCAGAGATAGCATTTTTTGATGCCAGAGATTACGATAGGGCGAAGGAACATCAAGGGAGGACTGATATTTCCATGATTCCCCCGTAGTTAAATTCCCTCCAACATTATGAGAAAACTGGTATAATATTTCCTCGCGAGAAACGATATACAGTTAGAAAAAGAAAATTCCGATACATGAAGTAAGCCCAGCTTGGTATCATCAAGATCGCGCGTTAAAATTTCTGATGGGAGGATAAGATTGTTTTTCGTTATTTTTGTTCACTATTTTTGCTTCGGCCATTTCGAACTATTCGAGCTTCGCTGAAATCCCAAAGCCGTCATCTTTGGCGCAAATGCTTGAGGATAAACTACAGCTCCGGTGGACTTTTTGGATTATTTAGACCAAAATAAATGCTTTTTTTTCGGTGCACGCTCTCGAGTGAAAACTATCGTATAAATGCGGCCAAGTTGTCCTTACTAAGTTTATTGGGCTAGTCGGGCATAAATTGCGGTCAATAAATATCACCAAAAATAACATTTTAGCCAACAGAATTAAGGTTCGGCAGATATAAGTCCGCAAACCCCCACCCCTCCACTCCTTTCGGCATGCTGATTATCATATACGCACCTAAGAGAATAAATTGAAGAAATGTCATCGTGAAAATGATAGGTTAAGCACTGTAATAAACTTGAAACAATAACCTTTTACAAGTAATGACCCTCTATTAGTTTAAAATCTTAGAGGGCAAACACACAATTGTTTGCAGATTTGACCAAAACATTCAAGGACAAACGACAGAGACATATTTTATTATAGTTATGATTTTATGTTGAATGTTTGAAAGAGATTGAATTAATTCCTAGTTTTCCTGAAGAATTTCGGAACCGATTGAAATTGCAACTTGAAAGTTCGAATGCTTTATGAGTAACTATCAGTCCTTCGAGAGATCGACTTTTGAACAATTTTGTGATAGCGACATGAAAAAGAATTCAGCGTATTTTGAAACTCAACGATCTCCGAAAACTGAAAAACCTCATAGAAAGCCCCTCTGGACCAAGTAACTCTGTTAATTCTGTTTTTTTTTGCCATGTTTAGATAGCATAATTAGTAAGTTAAGCTCATCAGCTTCCCAAAGAGTTAATTTGAGCTTATAAATCCAGATTTTTTATGTTGTTTGTGAGGTTTTTTCCAGAGCAAGAACACCTCTAAAACTAGTATTGATACGCAGGATAAAATTAGGACTCACAATAATTCTCAAACTTTGGGCCACTTAAACCCTTTCAAATAATTGAGTCGACCTTTTGTCAAATTTTGAACCCTGTATCTTAAATAGTTACAGAGAAATAGAGCAAACCTCGAAGAGAAAATTCACTCACTCACTCGTTGAAATCAAAAAGTTGCAACTTCTAAGTCCCGTGACCGTATATTAGTTTTGCGTAATATTATGGATGATGTTGCGTTTAGGAGCGGGAGAGTCGGCTTATAACTTTCATCAACAGCAATGGCATAAACTGTTCAATCCAACAAAAACGTGTCAGATCTCTTAGCGGAATAGTAAGCATCTTTGACATTATCTTTATGCAAATGTGATTTTACTGCATCTATAGCGTGAGCTGTTTTCAAAAAAGTTTGATCGGAAAGTTTGAGATGGAAGGAGAACTTTTTTGAAAACAAAACTGTCTAAAAAGTAATCAAAATATTTTTTTTTCTTCAAAAGTTAATTTTGGTGCACAAAAATTCAGTTTTTCAGTGTGACTACTTCTTACTATTAAGAGCACTACAGTTTGTCTGTAGAGATTGATCAAATCGAAATGGCCAATATAAATCCCTGAACTCAAAAAATTTATTATACAGTATAAGTATGTTTTATTCTTTGAATATTTCTTGCATCATGCAACATGCAACATGCAACATTACAACTATGCTATTTTTTTTAGATGTATTTTGATACGAACCCTTTATCCACAACCACGTGTACTTTTCTGAGGGGAATGATTTACAAAGAAAAACACTTTTGAACACATTATCGACATCTTAATTGCGGGCCAAATTGATTCTCCGAGCTCTTTGGAAGAAGCGAATTGTCACAAATTTCTGCGCCGCAGTCGATTTTTTAAGCACTAGACCATTCATACCATATCTGGCAAGTTTTCCGAGAAATTATTTGACAGAAAAGAAATTTTCACCAGGAACGAACTCTCCCTTTAAAATAGTCCTAAAATAATAACAAGACTGCTCGTATCAGGGCGAAGCCCTGAATGTTCCGACTGCCTTTTAAGGTTTATTGAGCAGCAGTAATACATAAAAAAAAATAAATGAAATAAAATAAAATGAAATTTTTTTTTCTAAAATTTGAAACTTTTTATGAAAATCATCCCCCCACACGCCATATAAAGTACAAAAAGATAGTTTTCGCTCCTTGAAACACATCAATTATGGCATATAAGCTTCGTTCAACCAATTTGGAACGATTTAAAAGACGGATTAAATCTCCGCTTACGCGTTAATAGCGCGAATTATATTGCGCGTTAATTATCCCAAATTGGTCAAAATGGCCAAAATGGCAATCTTTAAACCCTCATAACTTTACGAAAAACGATCACAGGTGAAATATCTTTTCAAATTTAAGCTCAGGACAACAATACTTTTTGAATGATATAAAAAAATTCCGTCAAAAATGGCTAGTTAAAAAGTCGAAATTTGTCTGAAGAAAAAAAAACCCACCCCGAGCACAAATATTCCGTTACTTTTGTATCGAAAGTCGGAACAATAAAACGGGGAGCTTTGGGCGGTCGGGAGGTCCATTTCCGGAGGGTCCAAACCTTGCAGTCAAAGTCGATATGATAATAATGTCCACAACGATTATGTCACCAAAAGAATCTACAGTTTGATCGGAGTGCCCTTAGCAGGTTTGGTCGGAAATACTTTAGAAGTAAGCTGAACTCAGTTCGAAGTTAAATCACTGATTTGAAAAACAAGTATTACTGTTTCATGTATAGCAGCAAAAAATTAAAGATATGTTTTTTTTTATAGGTGACCAGGTTTCTCAAGTTCATCTCTCATTTTTGGACCCTGCTTGGGTATAACTAGCAAACTGGATGGAGTATTTTAATGATGAAGACAGACATTCCTACTCGCTTAATGAATTTTCTTACAAAACTAAATTCACTACTAATAAAAAATGAGTTATAGCAGCACAGCAAACTTATGCTTACATTTCATTCAGATAAAAAGATTTTTTTTTTCAATTTTTGTATCAACAATTAGTTGTATATTAGCCTGAACACAATTTAATCTCTACAGATGTAAGTATGTTGGGCTACAAGATACGACGGATTGTTGAACATGCGCCGTATATTTTAATAATAAAACCAAGTTACTGGCGTTCCTCAGGTAATTTCAGCCAATCAGAAGTTACCATACAAAAAACTCAAATGAAAGGAAAAATCTCAACAAAAACGACAAATCCAGGCCATTAAAACTATTATGGACTGTTTCCAAAGTCAGCAAAAATATTATTTTTCAAAATTTGCGAAATCGAAATCCGGTATAGGAAAAATCCCATAACAGATGACCATTATAATTCCCTGAACTCAAAAAATTATTATTATGCAGTATAAGACCATTGTTTTTTCTTGGAATATCTCTTGCAATATTCAAACTATGCTACTTTCTCTTGAGATGTATTTCAGATTTAGATTATTGCTGCTCCATAGAACTTAAGAGGCAGTCGGAATATTCAGGGCTTCGCCCTGATACGAGCAGTCTTATTCTGGATATATGAATAGTCTTTTTCAGCTTACCTATGAACAGATAACTTTAAATCAGATTGAGGAATCTAAACGAAAGCAGTAACACAACTGTCAAATTCAATACTTCTCGAATTGGGTAAAAGCTTTGAAAAACTTATGTAAAATGGAACATAGTAACTTTTTCGGAAAATGTGAACGAGCTTGGCTTCAAAAATGTTGAAGTTCAATCAATGTAGTATTGTTAATGTTCAAGACGAAATGACTTGCGACGGATAGTGAATAGATATCAACGCAAAGTTCATGGCCCGATCTTAACCTCTTTTTGACACAGTCAATCACACACAGCTTCGATGTTACTTCATATAAATGTGTCATTAAACAACTGGATAATCAAATGAAGAGATTGAAGAGAACAAATGTTTTAAGGAAAAAAACTCAATAAGTTTAACAGGGGAAAATAGAAATTAAAGTTAATTTTTATGAAGTTTTCAAAATTTTGATAAAATTTTGCAAAAAAATTGCCCAGTAAAAACTCCCTAAATGTAAAAAAAATGTTAAAAGCTAAGTAGATTATCCAAACAAAAAAGAAACTAGCAGAAACTAACGACCGCTGCTTTTTACAAAACAATTGCTTTCAGGCTAATATACAACCAATGGTCGATATTAAACGGCATGCACAACCTTCTCACAATAGCTTGAGTGAATCCAGAAAACTTTTGGTTGTTTTCAGAGTTATCTGAGCGAAAAAAAAATGTTTTCCCTAGCGCCAGTTTTCATCGGTATTGACAAAAACGCAAAAAGTTACGGGTTTTGCTATCTTGAAGTCCAACATACTTGACAAGATACTGACATCATAACAACATCAAAAATAAATAAATTACATCAAATTACATCTGTAGATATTAAATTGTTTTCAGGCTAATATACAACTAATGGTTGATACAAAGTTGAGAACAAAAAAATCTTTTTATCTGCATGAATTGTAAGCATAAGTTTGCTGTGCTGCTATAACTCATTTCTTGTTAATAAATTACATCAAATTAAATCTGTAGATATTAAATTGTTTCCAGGCTAATATACAACTAATGGTTAATATAAAACGGCATGCACAACCTTCTCACGATAGCTTGAGAGAATCCAGAAAACTTTTGGTTGTTTTCAGGGTTATCTGAGCACAAAAAAAAAGTTTTGTCTAACGCCAATTTGTATCGGTATTGACGAAAGCGCAGAAAGTTACGGGTTTTGCTATGAGACGTAGAACCAGAAGAGAAATCACTAAATCTATAAAAAAATTGTTGTGAAAATGGCTGGTCTGAAAAAATTTTGTGCAACAACTATTTTTAGTCAAGTGTTGAACAAGTATATCAAAAAGATGTTTTTCTTAAAGCTGAATCAATTTTGTACACCTCTCCAATACCACAAATATAAATTCAATAAACGAACTATTTGTCAGTAAGATTTCTTTGTTTTGCTAAAATTTTTGAGTGTTCTAGATTTTCTAGTACCCGCAGGAAAAATCATCACGGTCAAACAGGCAATTTCAAAGGAAAATTTAAAGAAAATGATAATTGCTGAACGAGTAGAAACTAAACTTTCTAGCCAGTGGAGTCAAAGTATATTTAAACAAACTATTTGAAATGGTGGAATTTTTTTTTCAAAACACACTTGAGACTAGTTTTTTTTGCTCTTCCAGTGGTTTTTGAGGCAAATGAGTCTGAAAAACATAATTTTCTTTTATGGTGGTCGGAATTTTTGTCACATGTCTAACAACCGGCCACACTAATGAGATTTGAAAAACTTTGAGATGGGTTTAAAAACGTTTAGTTTGAAAAGAACTCGCTTAAAATCACGGGATACGTCAGAAAGATGGTACGCAGAAATATGGCTGTTGATGCTAACATGGTGCATCGTCGGTTTTGAAGGAGAAAAAATTGAATTGGTTGTAGG